AATATACACATAAACACTGCGGTCGTCACTTCATTTTGATGATACAATATTACGATCCCGAATCCACAGGTTAGTCCCGGGATAAGTAACGGTGCGATTTCATCGTGTAATTGACTTTTGCGGGACTTGAAAGTGCTCAGAGAGGTGATGATATCAAGATAAAATGTTTGAAAAAAAAAAAAAATCCCGAAAGGTAATACCAACGGTGTTTCCCGGAGTAAAAGTCGAAGCAGCGCAGATAAGTCTATACTCGCGTTTAAAATAATTGGAGTGTAGTACTCCAATGTAGTATTGGCACTGTAAAGATTAATCTTGTCCGCATTTTCGTTATTTCTTAAGGCCGTCGCAGAAACCGTAATTTGAAGGTCTTAACCGTCCCTTATCTGTGTCGCTGTGGTATTCATTCGTGTCCCAGGACTCGTTTATATTGTACACATTGTGTTCGGCTTATTTCGTGAGTATTACAATTTTCGAACCATTTTTCCGTCCACCGTCGTCGCCATCGGTGGCTAGGCGATAAACGTCTTATGGAAATTTTTGAATGCGATTAGCCATAGATTAATTGAAATAATATAATCACAAAGGGACCGCACTCGTCGCAATAACATACGTACAGAGATATCGCCTTTACGCGCTTATAATTCATTAAATGTTACCGAAGTGATTCTTATGATTTTTTTTCTTATATATCAATATTCAGCAACGTTTTCGTTTGCGATTCAGATTATTGTATATTGTATAAGGATTAACGATCATTTTAAATAGATTATAATATTATAATGCGTTTAGAATATGCATGAAGATAATTCCCGAGTTGTATGCAATTTATAGTATTATCATTTTCGTTATCCTGAATGGACCACAATATAGTTTAGCCTCTTGATAATAATTAATGTAATATCATTCTATTTTTCGATCAACGTAAGCTCTCTGGCAATAATATTTTTTCTAGTACCAACATTCCAGACGTTATACCGTAAATTTACATTTTAGCAATTAGCAATACTCTTCAGCACAGAATATTACTTTTGGAATATATACCTACGAGAAACGTAAAAACGTTTCTAATGAATACAACATCCCGTTGTATCAATCTATTGTACATTTTTTCTATTTTTCACATTGTTGTATCTTATCAATTAATTAATTATTAATGTTGATTGAACTTAAAACTGGATGTGTCGATATAGATAAATTTGGTATGACATTTTTTCTCATCCTCAAGCTTAGGGTTTTGGAGACTGTCCTACTTTATTAATACAAATATCTGTATTGCAAGCATGTAAATAAATAATTGTTAGTAATAGGCAATAGCTGAATATTCTGAAATTTATTTTTATTTTAACAATCACATTCCCATAGTTTCTGAATATTTTAAGTAAACTATTTAAGCTAACCAATAAAAATGTATTCTATTTAGATAACGCAACTTCAATATACCGAGTTAATATATTTAAATTTGAATTTGCGTTAAAGCATATTTTTAGTTTTATACAAAATATGTTATAATTTATCGTTTGTATATGCTTATAATAAACGTCTAACATCGGATAATCATGATAATCTTTTTTTTTTGCAGTAAATCCATTGTAATCGTTTCATTTAAGATGCGATTTAGATAAAACCTTAAACGATGAACGCCTTAAGAAGTTGTGTTTTTATTTCTGATATCTATGTTTTTTCGCACACAGCAATACAACATACTTACTTATAAGACACTCATTTTAAGGATGAGGCTACATTGCATGTGTGATGTAATTGTGTAGTTTATTTATGAGGCATCAACATCTATGGTTATTATTTATTAGCCTAGTACATTTGTTAGATGTATGAAATTACATTTTATATCCCCAACCACTCACTTGCTGCTAGTATGCATCCGGCTTAGATTATACAGGTTACAAGCTTTTACTATTTAAAGTTAGAACACATATATGATTTTAGGGCTGTTATCTTTATTGAGAGGTTGGTAAAATTTTTTTCTAAAAAAACAATACAAAATTTCTAATATAAAATGCATATTCGTTTTTTTTATAGTCTTAACTGCTGTAGAAATCCCAACATAAACGAAAATTCAAATAATAATAACTGCAATTCATTAACTCAGCTAAGACTACAGATTTGATTGTGGCAAGAGTGTAAACAATTTATTTGGAAAAAGTATTTGTAAGTATAAAGTATTTTTCCTCAATTTTATTTTAAGTTGTTTTTTCATCATTATTTGTGACATGAGAATACGAGACAGGTCTTGTCTGCAGGAAGACAAAAATGCCAATGTTCTCGGTTTGTTTGACTTAGGGCCCTTTTGTTTACCATAGTCATGCTATATGTCGTAGTTTTTGTTTTTGTTGGCGGTACCAATGGTGTCGTAACCAGAAATCCTAGCCTTTTAAGTGTAAACACAAACCCCGAAGGACGAGTTTTGCCCGAATTATCTGGATAACTTTCGTCGAGAAGAACGAATTTTTTTCTCTAACCTTTCAACTAATATTATAACCATTATACTATAGTATTCAACAAACTCGAATACTTATAACGAACATTTTCATAGACTGTCAAATGACCACATACATTGGTACTCAAAATAGGTAACTACGAACTAAAAAAAAATATAAAAATATCCCGAACACCATCGGCTATAATATTCTAAACGTGCAAATGCAAATACCTACTGAATAACCTTGTTGACTTCCATTAAAGTTCGATAGAACTTCAATATTGATGAGCCTTAGGCTATCCGAAGTTCCGAAAAGTTTTTAAATGCGATATAACATACACGAAGTTGGCCATTCTTGTGTATTATATTTGATATTATATTATTTCATTTAAACTCTACAGCAGAAAGGTACCTGCTTATTTTAAATTTGTTTTATTGAGATTTATGTTGGTAATAAATTGATAGTTTGGATACAAAAATAAATATTATAACCCAATAAACTTTAATGGACAATGATTATACCACAATATCGGTCAGAAAAGAACAGTTTTAAATTGACTTAAAATTTGAAATAATTGATTATGCTTGATTCAGATTGTTAAGTTATTCCCAGTAAAATCGTATTGAGTTTTAAATATAAATATCTCGTGTCTTATTAAGTTATTCTGGAAAGTAGACGAAATGAGTTTCCAGTTAAAAACGAATAAAATGTTAACAATTCTTGACCAGTAAATATTCTTGTCGTACCCATACGTTAAAGTTGAATGCTAACGAATGTTTTATTTTTTGGTTTGGAATTCATAAGGTACCACATATATCACGAATATTATACCACATTAAAATTCTAAAAATTGGATCCAATTGAAGGTTTCTCTTTTATGTTGGGTGTTCGTATTTTTTGTTTGAAATTAAATTAAAATGTATCCAACGTTAAACTTAAACGTAAAAGCCACTGAATCTAATACCTAATTTTCATTTGAATGCTCTTCGTGCAGTGTTACATCATTGATGATGGAACTATTATAAATATGGTGTCCAAACGATGTTAAAATTAGGCAGGTAAAGAACTTCTAAGTCATGTACTATTCGCAGTCGTATTCCATGTTTTGAATAACTCAATATTCCTAACTCGAACGGAGCAAGCAAGTTTAAAATTGAATTACTCTGTAAGTCCACGTACCAGAGTTGTACTGATTAGTTGGCACAATATGTTTGGCTTACAAGTAGCACGCCTACTAAAAATATATTACATAATATGTGTATAAATATAGTAATACCTAGTTCTATATACGCAATAAATGCACTAACAAGATTACTCATAATTTCATACATTTCTGAGTAATTATATCCTCGTACGTGAAATTAATCAAAAGTTCACTAAACGAACACATATAATTAATTAATTAATATATATATTAAACGGGTTTTAAGCCCTTTAAAAAAATATACCAATTGATGATTTTTTGCTAAATTATATTTGTATATATATAAAACAAAACAATTTTCATAAGAGATCCATTCGTTGTATACAATAATGTTTATATTACTATGTACAGTTTCGTGTATTAGGATTGAAGCACTTTAAAGAAAGTGGTGTAAAAACCTAAATGTTTTCATATCACGTAATCAGTAAAGATACTCACGTTAATAAATTTTATATTTGAAAAATATAAATGTCTGTATAAAATATACAGAAAAATACTATAAATAATTCAATCATTTTTTTTTTAAATACAAATTAGTTTTTTAGAACATAATATTAATATAATTTTATTTGATTAAAGTTGTTTTTTTTACCATGTATCATTTCAACAAAGATTGACATAAAACAGTTGTGTATGCAATTAGACTTTGAAATTTTTGATTAAAAAAAAAAATTAATTGCATGTCTCATGAATTTTCAAATCACATATTTAGCCAACTTTTTGTGCCCAATCGCTATCGTCTAATGATTTCTTAGTGTATTCATTTTACAGCTCTGCATTAAATGACAAATCTCACAACGTACTACGTAGTCTCGTATTCAACTGATGCAGAAACCCGTGTTTGCAATAGAAATCGCACAGATTTGTTGAAATTCGTACAAGCAGTCACACGTTTCGACATTTTTTCGTAACGATGTTTCGTTAGTAAATTTCGTGATAAAAATGTACTTTTGGAGGGCGGACTACGTTTGTGTTCCCTTGAGTTGTTTTTGTAACGCTACGCAATGCTTTAGTTTATTGGCCAGTTATCATAGTTTTCGCACATCATTTCCCAGACTCCTGTTGAGTTCCACATTCCGGCCACCTTGCACTACTTACGTTCGTTCGCGCCACGCCCCTTGGACCACAGAGATGTCTGAATTCCGGCCAAAATCAAGACAAGTATACCGACCGCAAAAAAAAAAAATACAAAAAAAATACCTCACTAAATAGTTAAAGTCGTCGCGTCCGAAAACTCTTCGCCCTATACATATTACATATATATATATATATATATTTATATAAAATAGAGTATACGTATATTGTGTGGGTATATGCACACGCCCTGTCAATACCCGCGTTTCGTGAAAGGTACTTACCTCAGCTGAATCTTGATAGAGATTGCAATTCGGACACAAGTCTTCGATGTAACAGTCCACGCACCAACCGATCGTCGCTATGATGACGGAAAACCAGACGATCATTTCACCTGAAATCGTGTTTGACATTAGAATTGTGTGAGTTTCCCTAACAAACAGACGAATTGAATTTAATATGATATAATATTATTATTATTATTATTATTATTATTATAACAATTAGGCACATTTTTGTTATTATCAAATTCAATTCCTGCCGATAGTGAAATAATAACATAATAATAAAATATACAACATTCATCTTGAATGAGTTCTCTTTTGTTATTATTATTAATACCTCCTTGTGTTTAATTATAATATGACGTAAATTCGTAGTTATAATTATTAAAGCAGTCAAAATGAAATAAATAAACGAAAGAACATATTTTAACATCAATAATAAGACCTTACATCATGCTTTATTATGTTACAATGTATTTTATGAGTGTTCGTGAATTATTTTCTTATGTATATTTTAAGAGTGGAGTTATATAAAAACATTAAATATAATATACTTAAATTATAACCTTCATAAATTTGCATACGAAGCTTATTTAATTAACTGTAAATTGTTATAATGAAATTCTAAAAGTGTAATTATTATAATTAATTTCAAAAACATTATTTTTCGTTATGGAAGGTAAAAGTATTATTCAAATAATTTATTTCATATCTTTAAAATAATGTTAATTGGTATTGTTGTTTTAGTTATATGCATATTAAACGTTTAAATCTTTTAAACTACATCCAACTTGAGATATTTCAACGCAATTTAAAACAGAATTTCTTCAATATTAAGTCTTAATGGTTTATCTTAAGGTTGTGGAGAAAAGTTATAATAATATATAGTGATAATAAATTACTAAATAATAAATACCTATTGTTTAAATTAATTTAAAACAATAATACAGTACTTATGTATATTGTATATATTTGTAACTAAATTATAGTATATTATTTGAACTTATATATATATATATATGAATAATATCAATATTATTATATTATGTTAACTTAAAATTTGAATAACCTAATCAAACTTGTTAAAATAATTAAACAACTATATATTTCATTGAACGACATTATACAGAATATGAGGAGAAATACAACAATAGACGGGAGAATGGGTTTCCTGTGCTCGTGAATCATGTAAAAATGTTTGATATTTCTTGTGTGCATCAAATTCGAGTTTGTTGAAAACTTAAAAACTAAAGATTAAGACCAATGGAATGGGCTGGCAAGAGAGAAGTGGGGGATATGATGCATCGGCCGAGTGCGCTAACGACCGAGACAACTTTACGTTCGAAGAAGACCGTAATATAATAATTATTATGAAAATAATAATAAAACAAGTTGTTTCTACACCTACACGATGCTTAAATAATTCGCATCAACGTCAGCGATTTTACGATCGTCAAATGCATGTTTCTTGTGGGGTTTATCTGAGGTCGTTTTAATACGATTTTATATAATGTTACAACTGCCTACTCCTCTTTAGTCGTCTCATCCATTTGGGCCTTATACAACCCAAACAAATATTACAATACCTTGTGGCATTCCGAACATGCAATCAAAAAATCACTAAAGCGATAGACGCAATCCCGCCAATTAAGGAGAGAGTAAAATTGGCCTGATGAGGAGTGCCTTAAATAATAATTATTGCATTTGAACGGTTATTATACCTAATTCCCAATAATAATAACAACACTTTGTTGAATAGGCGTGTACTACTAACCTTCGAAAAATAAAATTTAGCAAGTGCAAATATTTTTAGAAAAAAGTTTCAAAAAAAAATTTCAGTACATTTCTGGTAAAAAAAAACAATTGATTCGTTTTAAAGAGGTAATCAATTATTGCGCTGATTGATGTTGTTGAACGATGATAAATCGATGTTCGTCAATTGTGCCAATCGAAAAATATTAATATATTTTTATATTTAACAAAGCAGCAAGACAGTTGACAGTAACGTTAGATGAAATTATTGAAAGATGTAATTAACACCTCTAATTTCATCAAAATTAAAGATATGTATAATATGTATATTTAATATTTATACTTATTTGTGTTTATATAACTTAAGATACTATTTTATAGAATCGTACCTAATTGATTTTTTTGATTTTACAGCATATTATTACTTGCATTTTCACTAAAATTTAAAATATAAATTCGACAAATAACAAATTTACTATAACTGATTATATTCTATGTTATTATTCAAATATATATTTTTAGTGATGCAATTATTGACGAATAATTATTTATTTTATCGTGAATTCTGTATTGCAATATAATATGTAACCTTTACGTTTCAACTTTCTTCAAATATTCAAAGTACTCGTAATATTGAAAAATAAAACTGCAGGTAATATAAAATACGTGAAAAAATATTTTAGTCTACCACAATTAAATGATTTTTCGGGCTTTTGTTAAAAAAAAAAACGTACCAAACAATTCAGTTAAGCTGCACTTATGCTCACAACTACTACTTTATTTGAAACTAAAAACAAGTGACGTAACGATAAGGACACCTTTTTTTAAATACCTAACTAATAAATAGTTTCAATTTTTAACGTCTCAAGTTTAAAACGGTGTTTAGACAAATATTACAAATGAAAAAATTTAAAAATGTCCTGGCTTTTCATGAGAAATTGTCACATCTTCGTCTGCATTGCGGAATATTTTGGACATACTAATAAAATAATATGATATGCGAGGATAACATAAATACGAGCGTGTCCAAATTACTCCTCCACATCGTTTTAATCCGTTTTACGGTCGCCCGGAGACGGAAAATAATTCGGTTTTAATCGGAACCGTCTAGGGCCACGCGGAAGGGAATTTGACAAAAGGGGGATGTAGGCCGAGAAGATTGCTTTCCTCGAACTGTGCAGAGCCATCCGCTTCCGCTGACATCCGTCCACCAACCACGCCATATATTGGCGATATTAATCCAAGATATTTTTCTTGTACTCGCTCAAATTGCTGGCCGAGTGCGGTGGCAGAACTTTGGGAGGGGTGGCTAGGGCGTGTACCCCCCTAGTCTCCCCCGTCCGCAGAGTACTACAAGTTTATTCCTGCGGTGCGCTCGCGTCTACGGAGGCAGGACAACAGGACATAATAGCAGCAGCAGGGGCACCTGCACTACGGCGAAATCGATCTCAACCCCTCAAACGATTTGTCCGCGATAATCATAACGAAAATAATGAAAACGAATTATCAGTACCATCGTGAGTTTTTTACCATTTTTAATTTTAAGGCCGTTCGCCGGGGTTCGCGTCGATCCATCAAAATCGAGTGTGGGGATTCAATATTTATGATATATGGCATCGATGGCTGCTATACAACAACAATATGCGATATTATTATAGTGATACTCTTCGAAGTGGGCGGGCATCGTCGGGCAAAAAAAAATAATTGCAAACGATATTTTTTCCCTCGCCTCACTAGTTTCGATCGCACATCAAAGAGTTATGATTGTTATATTCGTTTGTATTTCGATTTTTTCCGAACGTCGCATATTGGGTGCCTAGCTGGTATATTGCAAGTATTAACGCGACCGACCTCACTTATCGGACGGTTGTACTTATACCCGACAAACGAGTATTTTTTATAACGCTTGTGCACTCGACGTTGTATCATGTTATTACTGTGAAGAGTCAGTGAAAATAACAATATGCACCGAAATGGGCATAAAAATCAAAGTCATAAAAAGCAGCAATACGTCGATTTTTTTTTATCAAAGTCGTTTTTAGATACTTTAATTTCGAGTACGATAAACTACATTACTATTCAAACGGGACGTACTGTTCGGCAGTTAATCGTTTGCCCCCTCCGTTTGATAGTGTTCTTTATACTGCATAGGTAATAATTATTTCGTTCATGACAACACACGATGAACGTTTTGAGCGCATCAAGCTCACACACGCATGCACGTATATTATTATAGTACTATAGTATAATATATTATTTATTGCATGAATTCGTTGTTGAAACGGTGTAAAACAGTTAACAACGAGCTGGTTTATATCAAATAATACGGTCCTAAAAAGGTGGCGCTGTGACCATTATATAGATATTAGATTTAGGTGCATGGCAAATGCGTGTGTACATAATATATTCATGTTAATCGATTGGACCCGTATTATAGCAGCACTGTATACATTTATAATATTTTTTCTCGGATATAACCGGTGATCTTATCAAAAACACCGTTCTGCACAACCGTAATGGTATCTTTATCACTTTATATATTGTGTGTGTGTGTGTGTGTGTGTGTGTGTGTGTGTGTGTGTGTGTGTGTGTGTTGCTGGATTCTAAATATTTTTTCGACAGACTTCCGATAAACTTCGATCGGCGATGGTGAGAAACCCGGGGATAATCACTAATTGGAGTGGAAAAAAACATGCTTCTAGTCTATAGCACAGTTAATGTCATAGTAGGATTTAAAGTTTTATCGTAGAGGGGTGGGCAATAAAATATACAGTAAGAACCAAGCAGCATGTCCGAACTACGCGTAATATGCTATATATATTATATAATATTATACTCTTAAACAATCACGATTCACTAATTTACTACCCAGAAATCCTTATTTTTTTATTTTTAATTTTGCACCGATAAAAATCGCGCACCCATTCAACTCGCGCCATATTATACTTGAACCCGACTTCCCAGAATTACACCGAAATTCCAGCGAAATCAGCGATCCGATATATTTACGGAATTCAGACAATAAACACAGACACACACCAAATTTCGTTGTAAGTACCTCTAAATGTAATATACACAGTGTTACTCTTTTATTACCTGATATATATATACTATAGGTACAGGAATTTTCAACAATTTTATACTAATTAAAACGTTCTCTCCGCATAGATCGATATCATCACTTGTAGTAAACTTTTATTCCATACTTTGGTTTGGTTTTTATTGCCATATTCCAAAACGGAATATCAAGAATAATAACGTACAGAATTTCGATGTACGCATACGGATGACCAATAAGGCAACAAGGGCGCTGGGTGTGTTTCCGATGTTTAGCCGTTTACCGAACTAACGTAACGAC